TAACAACATTTCGATTCGTTTTTGTAATCTGATCTGCTAAAAAGATTAATCCACATTAATTATCAGCTTGTCAAAGATCATCACAACTCTAAACATTAAGAAAAACCTGAGAATTCAGGTCTTTAACATTATCTAACAAAAACTAATTCTCAGAAATAAAGAAACGGGGTGTTCACTTCTCAAGTTACTTTTCATTATTAAACAAAGAATAATTGTAGTCATTAATTTCCTCTAATCTCATAAACATACATCATAGTTAACATTTTTATAAGACAGTGTAATTAGTGAGAGTTTTAAAAATAGACTAAGTAGAAGGAATATAAAGAGAACGTGCTATCTTTCTGAAGAGCTATTTGAAAAAGAAAAATGTCAGGGAAGTTTAGGTTTATTTAAATAGACTTAATGTGAAGAGAATTGCTACCAATTATTTTGATGAAAAGCTTAATGGTTTATATTATTGCAAGTTATAATCAGAAATCCAACAGCTGCACATTCCCAATAATTTGATACATTTTAATGTCCTTTAACACAGATTATATGTGACACTGTATCATCTGGTATACTTTTGTGTGCAAGGTAATTTATAATTTTTTATTTTCTGCACACTAGTGAATTGATTGCCAGCTCAACTAACATTTTTTACAGCAATTCTGTGATGACCTCTAGCAACTCTAAAAAAATATAACATTCATTCCAGGTGAGATACCTGAGGAGCCTAATTAAAATAAGGAAATCAGTTTTTTAAAAGACATAAGACTCCTGGGTTTTGGTCCAGCATTTAAGAAGCTCAGAAGACACTACTCCTTCCCTCAAAAACATAAAAAGCTGAAGAAAGAATTCTTTTTATCTGTCAGAGAATTGAGGTGACAGGGCAAATTGTCCCCCTCCCCAAATTAGAGAGAGAGTCAGACAGATACAGAGAATTACCAGAGCAGAAACTGAGGAACAGAAAGCCCTGCTGGAACCGGTACCAGGGTAGGAAAAGGAACTCTCATTGATAAAATGCTGGTGGACTGGTGTGGACACGCTTGAGCGTTAACAACTCCAGGCGGTTGGTATTCAGTCTAAGAGGATTTTCCCATACGCTCATAAGTTTCACCTCCAGGAGTCCTAGCAGGTTCTCACAGTACAGATAGGAGAAAAATAGACTTTGTGCTTCCAGTAGGGAAGAGAATAGCCATTTGAAATACTGTAGAGCATTCTGTTCTTAAAAAGGCCTGACTTCTAGGGAAATAATTTTACCGGAGCCCAATTAATCTGGGAGAAAGGAAATACCCAGTTCTAGACCCTTGAAGCCTCCATGCTGAATATAAGGGGTGAGGAGGCCGAGAAGACACGGAAAGGTCACAGCCCAGAGGTGAGGAACGGGCTCACTGAGAGACTGAGACCTACTCATAGCACTTTTGAAAGCTATGTCTTCCCCACGTCATGGGAACAATCTTACCCACACCTATAACAACAGGGGAGATAACAACGGAGAGAACTGCACAGCTCAGATCTATTTAAGAAGTTTCTAATAAAATCCACTGATTACAAAGGAGATAACAATAAGGATACAAGAAGAATTTTAGCCTGACACCTATAGCCAGAAAAAGCAGTAAACATGGCCTGACTCCTAGCCATATAAAAATAAAGTATCATACTAAGGCCTATTTATTTCAATTACTTTTATCCAGCTCATGATGTCTGCCTATAAATATTAAATTATCAGGCATGTTAAAAGAAAAAAAAAACATCAACACAGTTTGAAGAAACAGAGAGAGCACCCAATCTGATTTATATGGCAGAACTTTTGTAATTATCAGACTAGGAATTTGAAATAACTATGATTAATGTGCTAATGACTTCAACAGAACAACCTCAACAAAGATGACCAACATCAAAAGATATTCTCCTCCTCCTATATAATAAAAGTCTAATATGCTAAGTGTCTGGTAGACTGGTTGGCCATTCAACCAATCAAAGCATAATATGCTAATGATATGCTAAGGCTGCTCAACCGCTTGCCATGGCATGCACTGACCACCAAGGGCCAGACACTCTGACCGGTAGATGAGCTTGTTGCTGGGGTCCATCCCTTCAGGACTGAGCGAGATGGGCTGGACAAGCCCTGGAGCCTTCCTGTGGTCCGGTCCCTCCCTGACTGGCCAATCTCCTGCATCTCTCCCCGGCCGGCCCCAGTTGTGCACCAGTGGGGTCCCTCGGCCTGGCCTGAGCCCTTTCGCAATCTAGGACCCCTTGGAGGATGTAGGAGAGCCAGTTTCGGCCTGATCTAGCAGGCCAGGCCAAGGGATTTCACTGGTGCACGAATTTGTGCACTGGGCCTCTAGTGTTCTATATTATGTGCTCTTAGAAATACTACAATTATCCCTGCTCTTCACAAACTCCAATATATCAGAATAGAGAGAGTAATATGCAAATATTATATTAGAATATGATAACTTGATATGATGTTTAATTTCTTCCCATGCACTTTGCTGCTAGAATGCCATGACTCACCTTATCAGGGAATTACCAAAGTTTCCCTATGCCCATTATTTTAACATTCACCTACATGCACACTTAATCCTGAAGCAGATCAATTCTCCAATTCTTCAAACTGATTTGTTTCTTAAGCCTCTCTCAAATTCAATATCTTTCTGTGAATGACATTATTTTTTTAAAAATGTAAATTTGACATTTTACCACAATCACGATTCTTATTATTTTACATCCTATTTATTCACAGCATTAGTTGGGGGAGGGAGAAAAGAGATCTAAAAAGCATTTTTCCAGTGATATTATGCAATTGCCATACCTGTTTTCAAAATAGTTTGCCATTCTATTCCTTCATTTCAAAATTCATGATTCTAACTTCATATTAATATTTCCAGCAGTCAAACAAAGACATTGAACAATTTATTTTTTTATTTCAGCAAAATATTTGGCTTCTTATCCCAATTAATAATTTGTAGCTATTTTCAGGGGAATATCTAATTTAAAATGTTCGTTTACTGCTATGACACTGATATGCATAACATTTAAATGTTAAATTCTTTTTCAATAAATTAAATTTTCTACACCTTTTTCTACTCATTTTAGAACATAACCAATGCATTAACAAAAGTATAATCCCCCTATCTCTTTGTAGCATTTTACCCAGATGCTTCCTCTTATGATAGTAAGCATTTATGTCTTATTTTAGCTTTCTAGTACTTGAGAGCTAAAAAATATAAATTTAAAATAAATTTATTATATAATTAATTCATGCATAAAATTAATTAAATGCTCTACTAAAACATGGATGTATCACACCCTTAACAGTTTTCTCTATTTAGTAGACTTGTGGTTTTATAAAATTATGTTTTCAGGATTTTTACTTTTTTGTTTGTTTGTTTCTTAATCCTCAAATAAGGATATTTCTCAATTGATTTTTAGGGAGAGTGGAAGAGTGAAGGAAAGACAGAGAGAACTTCGATGTGAGAGAAACACATCAATGAGCCCTGACCAGGGCCCAGGCAGGGGAGGAGCCTGCAACCAAAGTATTCGCACTTTGCCAGAATGGAACCCGGGACTTTGCCCCACAGGCCAACGCTCTATCCACTGAGCCAAACTGGCTAAGGCTGCATTTTTACATTTTTAACATATACTAATGGATTTATCCTTCATATTTGATATTATTATTAAAGAGATAATTCAAGTGATAATTGTCGTATATTTTAATATAAAAGAACATATCCTGAGGATTTAACTATTTTAAGGATATTTGGCATTAATTCTTTGTATTTAACAAAATTTCTAAAAAAAAATTTCTATATATCAGGCTTCATCAGTAGGAGGATATAGTTAAGTAAAGGATATATTTCAGCTTTTTTCTTTCTCCTCCACTTTAAGGAAGCCATTATTGTGTAAACTGAGGTGTCATAAAACTTATTTCTTAGCACCAAATACCTCCCAGACTCAAAGTTCCTGAAATGTGTCCTCAAAGACCATCTCTTTAAGGTCATTAGGGGAAAAATATTTTCCCAGAGGAAAGCCAGGACCAAGGGCCCTAAGAGAAATAAAATGATAAAGATGATAGTTCCGTTTTATCAGAGAGATGAGCCTTGGGAATACCCTTCAAAAGAAAAGAGCATATGACCTAAACCCAAGTTTTCTCACATTATTTTGTTTAAATGACAGGTATGGACCATTTATCTGTTTAATTTTTAATGACCTCTGGAGAGTCTTGCTTCTGACCTTTCCTTTCTGATCTGGCTCTGAGCAAAGTCTATCTCCATTCATACGTATATGTGCATCTTCTTTAAGCACTGGCCAGACCTCACCTTCCCTTGAAGTCTGAATCCTTAATCTTGCACTGAGTCACCTGACTGTATACACTACCTAATTATTTAGCTTTAATCTTGGTTAAGGCTGGTCTATCTGTTAATGACATTTGTAGATATACATTTAAAATTCCTGACAGCACAGTCTTGCCAATTGATATTTCCTTACTATAATTCAGGTGCTATGGTCAAAAGAATTATGGTTCAATGGAGACATTTCTACCAAAGTAAGACTATTCCAATGTTAATGGAATTCAGACCAGTCCAACTTTGCCAAGGAAGCAGATTCATTCTCCTTGGACACATAATACTCTGAGTCCAACACCAGAAGCAGCACTACGTCCTTGGGCAAAATAGAGGTTCTGCCAAGACCCTGACAATATTAAGTAATTCCTCTACTGGCATCCTCCTTCCAAATGCATTAAAACATGAAAGGACAATATATTAAGTCACTTATACCTTAGTTTGAATCAATTTAGGAGCATGCTTTTCTCTTGAAGGGCTGAGGGTACATGTGACGTATGGAGGAAGGGAAAGGGGAATGTTGAGAAAAGTGTAGTATGGCCAGACAGAGAAGGAGAAGAGCACTAAGTTAACGTGTCCAACCTTACGTTTCACCATACACTATTCTATTACTTACAGTGTTTCAAAGGCAATGTAAAAGTTTCACAACAAAAAAACAATAATAATCTTTACCACAAATCCAGGTAGGCAGAAACATGTCGAGGCAAAGCCAGTTCATTTTCTACACATATGTCATGAACACATGATTTGAGAATGCACTCATCAAATCCCTTCTCACAGGGATGTTCTGGCCAACCTCAGACAATCACAAAGGGGAAATTTAATTTTAATTACATATGTGTGTTTGTGTGTGTGTGTGTGTGTATATATTTACTATTTGTTATAATTGTGCTAGGTCATTTATATAAATTGTCACAGTTTATCTTCATATTCATTCTATCTGGTAGCTATTATTACTATCTCTATTTGGTAGATGAGAAAATTAAACTTAGAGAAGATAAATAATTTGATCCCAAATCACACAGTTATGCAGAAATGAAAGTAAGTATATGTGAAATAAAATTTTGGCTTGTAACTATGGTGCCATTCTATATTACCCGTTCAAATGTCTTTACATATTTTACCTTGGAATAAATCAGTGGTTCTCAACCTTCCTAATGCCGTGACCCTTTAATATAGTTCCTCATGTTGTGGTGACCTCCAATTTCATTGTTACAAATTGAACATAATTAAAGCATAGTGATTAATAACAAAAACAATATGTAATTATATATGTGTTTTCCGATGGTCTTAGGCGACCCCTGTGAAAGGGTCCTTTGACCCCCAAAGGGGTTGCGACCCACAGGTTGAGAACCGCTGGAATAAATACATAGAAAGCAATGGAATAAAAACACAATACTTTTTTAAAATATGATTCTCAAATTCAAAGGAAAATTTATCACTATAGTTTCTAGATATAAAATATTTTCTTATTATACTTGTAGTGTTTCACAGTTAGTATTTCTTAAGCTGTGGTTCTACAGAATATAAATGTTATGTATAGGTTTAGGTGACCATTGGCTGTCACCTAAATTCTCTTTAAACATCATGATCTAATTTCCCATACTAAAACACTGTGTGTGTATCCTTTGTTTGGCTTTTGCCAGCATTTCTTCATCAACCTAGCAAACAACATTGCTAAGCTAGCCACAATATCTGAGACATGGCTTGCTATGTATACATTAATAATATTTTTTAAACCACTGATTCCTTCCTATGAAGCAACTATTTATAATGAATCTTAATATGTTTAAGAACATGGTAACCTGAATATATCTAAATATACCATTCTACAGAGGGACACTAGAGACAATTAGAGGCAGCTGTCACTACTCACTACTTATGTGAACTATAATTGCAACTTTTAAATATGTTATGTAATAGCATTTAATCTAAACTCTGGTTATCTGGAAACAGTATTTTTATCCTTCCTACGTAACAATATATTCTCACTGTTCTTTCTTGATAAATTGAAAGAGAACTATTAAATATGTATTCTGAGGTACTTTGATACAATCTAATGCATTATAAGAACACAGAACAAGTTTAAAAGACTTGGCAGAATCTAGATCAAACTTAAAAGCATTTGCAAAAAGACTAAATTTCCCAAATCCTTGTCCAGGACTCTCTCCACTTTGCAATGCTCTTTCATATGCCGAGCTGATTCTGGAACCATCTCTACTATGGAGACTGTAAAAGGTATTACAGAAGAAACAGGGCTTATAAAATGTCATGATGACCAGTTGTTAACATGGTTGAATATCATAAACATATTGTTGAATATAAAAGTATATTCCATAAAAATACATTGTGATAGGGTTCTTACAAAAGTCAAATACAGCCCAGAAGAGTGGCTCAGTGATTGAGCCTTGACCAAAGAACAAAGAAGTCAAGGGTTTGATTCCTGGTCAAGGCACATGCCTGAGTTGCAGGCTCTATCCTTAGTGGGGGGCATGTGGGAGACAGCCAATTGATGTTTCTATCTCTATCCCTCACCCTTTCTCTCTAAAATGTCAAATACATACAAATTTAATGATATCACTTAGAGATGCATACATATATAATAAAACTATAAAGGATAGTAAAAGAATGTTGAATATAAAATTCAGAATAGTTAGTGCAGGTGGGGGTAGTGAGGTGATAATGTGCTCAGGAAAAGATAGAGAGGAACCTGTAATTATTGCTAATATTTTATTCATGAGGAAAATGGTAAATACACAAAGGCTTATTATAATATTTTATGTAATAAATTTACATTAATTGTATGTTCTCTTGAATAAAAAATTACAATATCAGAGAAAAATAAATATCACATGATCCCACTTATTTGTAGAATTGAATGAACAGAATACTATATGCATAGCCCATGGGCACAGACAATAAGGTGGTGAGGACCTGAGTGAGGTGGTTGGATAGGGACTGGGTGAAGGGGGTTAAGAGGGGGGAAAATGGGAGACATCTGTAATACTATAAATCTTTATGAAAATGCATTAGTATATACTCTTTATTAAAGATTATTTAACTTTTCATGGGTCTTGATTTCAAAGAAAAATCATTCTGCATCTTTTCTAAATTGTAAAAGCCCTATCCCTAACAATAATTGTGAGCAGTCATGGCAGATATTATCTGTATTTATCTGCTTTCTTGCCCCAATGGGCAATGCAGCATTTCTGCTTCAAAATGAATAATGTTATTTTAAGGTCAAAATGAGTATCTTCAGTTTATATTATCACCTATGCAAACACTATTCCACCCCTCCTGAGTGTAAAATGTGGGCTCGCTGACTGCTCCAGGGACTGAGCACAACTCTGGCTGAAGTCGTCTCATTTGCAGTTCTGAGATTATTCCCTTCACTTTCAATTTGCTCATAATGGGATAAACTGTGGTTTCACTTACTGAGTGTTAAACATTTTTATATAACACTATAAATGGAACTATTTGGGCTAAAACAAAAGTAAGTGCAGTTTAGTTTGTAAAATGATCCGAATGCTTGTTCTGATACTTCAGTGGAAACAAGTTCAGTAGCCACTGAATTCACTACACAGGTAGAGAATGAACTCTGTAATTAGGACTGAACTGAATGCTGGGCAGCATGTATGCTGTATAAAGATCTCATGCAGAGAGGATCAGTGAGGTCCAAGATCCAACAAGTGCTCTACTTGTCCAGCATTGCACCTTGTTAGCTTGGAGGAAACATTAGAATCATCTAACCTGACTGCTTAAAGAGGGAGATGGCTTTATACTAATGATGGCCTTGTCTGTGATGACACAATATTGGCCAGCATCGTTAATGGATTGTACTTTTTCAATATGTTAACAATTTGGGATGACATATTAGAAAACAACTCCTTGAATGGGATTTGATGGTAAAAAATTAAATAAGATACAGAGTATCTTCTAGACTACTTCTATCCAGTTTAAATTTCAGTTTTGTTTTGTATATCTGGTGAGGAAGCTGGCATTGAATGTTTTAAATTGTGTTCTGTTCAGAATATTGCAAGAGTCATCCAGCTCTGCTGCAACTAAAAATAAGAGAGATGTGAGAAAAAAAGTAAAATTGCAAATCTTGAGGTAGAATGGAGGAGCCACCCAAGATTCGGGCTATGGAGGAAGAGTTGTTGTTACATGAAGACAAGAGAATTTTGATAATTGGCAACATAATGTGAACATAAGGAATATTTACACAACTAATAAAAATAGAAGACAACTGTAATTTATACAACCTAACTAATTTAAAAGCAGAAGCAAATATCTAGTGAAAGTAGGTTTCCATTCAGAACTGTGTAAGATACAGATAGTGGCAGGATTTAGACCAGAGCCTAAAAAAAAAATTATCAACATTAATTAAGACTGGTTTTGTCTTGAATAAGAAAAAGAGTGGATCTGTACAAACCAAGTGAATCAGCCTTTGTGTCTTATGACATTTGGGAGATAGGCAAATGCTATAGATTGTTCAGAAAAGAGATAATTTCTCCATTTTTTGCTTATGGAAACCATTTAGGAGATAATCAGACAGATCTGGGTAGGAAACCTTTCTGAAAGAATCTCACAGTGGTTATTTTAACAGAGGGGAGAGGTCCTCTTCTCCCCTGGTTGCTAGTGATATTCCAAAAAAAAGGATTTTCTGAGACTCTCATAGCAGAATGAGTGATTTTCATTTCTGTGACATTAAAACCGGAGTTTCCCAGTCCCCATTTCCCTATGTCCCACCACAGAATAAATGTAGCGGGTCTTCAGTAGAGCTAAAATTAGAGCCAGTGTCCAGAATTTCCTTTCCATGTTGGAGTCGGGTCCAATCCAGCATCAAGCTAGCTTAATTGTTTCCCCATTGCATTCCATTAGTCCATTGACTGTGGAGTCCACAGATCCACCTGACTATGGAGGAAACATGGGTGAATGCAAGGAAGCCATGAGCACAAGAGAACCAAGAACAGACTCCTTTGTTTAGGAGATTAAGCATTCCCCAATTTGTTCGTGCTTGCAGTGGCCATGCCCATTCTGGCCAATGATTTCTGTTCCCAGGTGTGACTGACAAGCAAGTATCATCCCTATGGCATCCCAACTTTACTGGGCATGCATCTCTCTCTCCTTTGTTGGGTCCCTTCCCTCAGTGTTTTGCAGGAAATAGGCAGGTGGTTCCCTGGGGAGTGCAAAGTTGCAGCTTCCTGGTAAAGCTGCCTAAATGACATGCCTACATGTCTGGTCTTTCCTTTGCTTCTTTCTATTACGAATAACTGGCTAATCACAATGGTATCAGTTAGAATTGGTAACATCTGGATTAAGATACAACACATTGATGGATCTTATTGGCAAAGTTTTTTTTTGTAATGGTTATCAATTTTTTTCTAGTAAGAACATTTAACATGATATCTATTTGTAACAAAATTTTAAATGTACAAAATATTATTATTAACTATAGGCACAATGGTATACAGCAGATCTCTAAAACTTACTCATCTAGTATAACTAATACTTTATGGAAAGTTGCTCTTCAGTGAAGGTCCTTCTTTGGAGAACATAAGAAATGATGAATGTACAACATTAAGCCAGAAATCCTGGTTATATATCTGAGTTTTGCCTAATGTGTTGTGGAAGATTATCTGAAGACTCTGGGACTCCAGGTCCTTACTGGTAAAATTAGACAACAGTACCTTTTTCACAAGGTTGTTAAGAAAACTAAATGAATCAATGCATATAAAAAAGCATGGTGTCCATGCATTAGTATTGTTATCTATATTACAATTATTATTTTTCAAACACATATATGCTGAAGTCCTCCCACACTTGGCTTTCAAAATCTAAAAATCAGACTATGGGAGAACTACTAAACAACAGGTAGAATTTTCAAGGACAAAAATGATAAAGAAAAAATTAGAATTATATAAAAATAAATATATGCTGGGGATGAGGAAAGGATTGCCTACAGAGGAGCAGCATGTGTACAGTTTTGGGATCATGGCGACATGACTGGGTGTGGTGGTTGTTACACAACTTTTTATGCATTTGTCAAAACTATAGAACTTTGTGTCAGAGAATGAATTTTCCAGTAAGAATTTTAAAAAGCTTGAAAAAAAAATGGCTAACTATGCTAACAAGGAAAATGAGGAAGAGATAAAGGGTAACCTACCAGAGTCAGATCATTCCTTAAATAGCTTCAGAAGGAAGATGGGTTGCCATGATTAAGAGCCATGACTGTACAGAGTATCTGGGAGCAGGTCCGAAAGGGTGCCCACAGCATTGCCAAAGAATTTGTTTGTTTTTGTTTTTTGCTTATTTGGTTATTGCTCTTTGACTAGGTTGTGAAAAACCTAAGTCTTAAGTCAAAAGTACCAGAAAGTTCTTAGTAACACCTAACAACACAGATGGGTATCATTTCTGAAGCCTTTATTTTCCACTATGGATTGTGAGCAGCATTCAGAATGGGGCTACATCTGAATGCTGTGGCTGCTTCAAAATGGCTCCATGCTTCCAAATGAATCTAAAATAAGTGGATTCTTAACTGAGCATCAAAAGTAATCTAGCAATGTAAATATAATAACATAAATATGAAACTAGCAAGTGAAATATATGTATTGATATAGTAAATATTATTGACATACCTGTTTTATTTCCTTACTATTTTTGTAGGAATATACAGGTTGAGGCAAAAGTAGGTTTACAGTTGTAATACAAATAAATAATAATTAATGAATAATAATAAAAGAATAAACTCAGTGTTTCACATACTCACAACTGTAAACTTACTTTTGCACCACCCTGTACTCATTGCATATGGTAGCTTTCATTGTGTTTTAAAAATGTTCAGTCCTCAATAAAAACGTATATGCTTGGAAGAGGCTAAATTTTTGAAATGGTATTTATTTCTTATATCAGAGAATTGTAATCTTTATTCTACTTATCTATCTGCAAGAGTCACATTTTTACCTATAGGCGGCTATTTCAAAATATACATGCAAATGTCTCCTGAAAAACTGTCTGACCAAATAAAACCAGTATCACTATTGAGTCTGCCAAAATACAGGAGATGTTGTCAATGATGAGTGAATGTGAACTGGTAAATAGCATGTTGCTGGTACTCAATTGATAATTTGTACAACATCACATAAACAATAAGAGCCCTATTATCCATATGTCTGCTGAAGGGAACTAAAGTTTTGCCACCCCCAAATGTGCCTTTTGAGATATTGCTT